TTTAAAAACAGGACTGAATGAGTTGGCTGATTAGCAGGCTTGATTTTAGGCTGAGCTAAAAACCACCCCAACCAAACAACAACAAAAAAAATCACTTGGCAGGACTGTTTTCCACTGTGAAATACAGGTCTACCTTCAAGGAAGTTCTTACTGAAATTCCATCACTTTTGTTTGAGTATTTTAAAGGCAGAAATCTAAAGCTCTGGCAGCATCAAAATGTCTTTTTTAAGCATTATTAAAATCTAGAAGTTTAAAGGCATTCTTTTTTAAGCTTCTTCCTTTTAAAATATTGTTTTGTATTACACTGCAGTAAAACAATAATAAAGGGGGAAAAAAAGCAGCCAGAAATCTTTCAAAAATGTTGTCAAGAGCTAGCAAATTGATTGACCTGAAAAAGAATTTTGAGCTTTTAGGTTTTGTTCTAACAGGAAGTAAATGTGACACACTTTACATAAATGAAGCTTTGTCCTCGGCACAGAGCTGTTCTGCACTTTATCCAGTCATTTATAACAGGCATGAGCACAAAGGGCAAGAAAATGCAACTAAACTATAGTGACAGTATTATATACTGCTCCAAGTCACTAGTGTGTAATGAAATCTCATATTTTAGTTCTTACTGAAGAAGCAGCTTAATAATCATAGGCAGCATAACTGGGAGAGCCTTGGGAGGTCATCTGCTTCATCCTTCTCCCTTTGCAGGATCAGCTTCATCCTTGTGGTTCCTTACTGATGTTTATCTAAACTGCTCTCAACTCCTGCTGTAAATCTGTTCAGCACGAGGAGCAGAGACTTCTTTTTCTTTCTTACATACAACCCCTTTTCTCCAGTCCCAAATCCAAACTGAAAACACCGCTCTTTCCTGTGTTCTCCAGCAGTTTTATTCATCTTCCTCATGCATCCTTGTTGCAGGGAAAGGAGAGGAAAAATTTGCTAACCTCTCTACAATCTGTTGCCCAAAGCAGCTGTCTGTCCTGCCTTTGCCTGGAACTGGCTTTTACTTTTGTTTGTTTCTCCATTTTCTGTATTAAAACCAGTTGTCATTAATGCATTCCAGGAATTTTTTGGCAGTTTGTATCTTTCTGTGCTCCTTTCTCATCTAGGTAGTCAAAATTCTGCCATACCACCAGTTCCCATACTTCAGACGAATCTGCTAGCTTGTCACAAAAAATATTGTCTACTCACATGGTTTGGTGAGGTATATTAAACCTCAACAACCCTGTTCCCCAGCTGCTTTTAAATTAACTAGCCATAGACTCCCAACAGATCTAGCACAGATCAAGCACATATGTACTTGTTAAAGCAATATATCCTTCCTTTTCACCATTCTAACAAAGTAAGATTTTGCTTGTACCAGTTGTGATTTATCCAACAACATATCAATTTTGCCAAATCAAGTATAATCTAGATCAAGACTTCTGGAATTAGTATAAGGACAGCAAATACTTTCAGCTTAGGGAGCTACTACACTGTCAGGTCTAAATAAGCTTATTGTTCACCAGGGTTTTAGATGCCACTCAGATTCCCTTTGCTAAGGCTTACTGGTCACCTTTTGTCATTATTGCTTGCCAGTTTATAGGTCTCCTAGCTAGGTCGGCAAGACACTGCGCAGAGATGCTATTCCCCATTTTCTTAATCCGATAAAGGACTACTCCTAGCCAGCAAGCAGTAGTTGACATAGTTTTGTCGTATCACTACTGCAAGGATATTCAAAAGTACAAGAGAGACGCTATAGCTTCCAGCAGCACTCTAGAACCTAGAACATTAATTTATTCATACGGAAACAGTATCACCAACACACTGTGCAAACTTAAGCATTAACTTGTTCTTATGTCAATGCACTAGTTTCTTCATGCATGTCAAACCCAATTTTCAGATTTGCCAATTACTGACAGACTTCCTTGGAGGGTACCAGTGTTCAGTTCCTAAGTTGCCTCAAGTTTATACCAAAGAGGATATTGTAGAAAAACCTGATCTCAACAACCCCTGTGAGCTTTTTAAAAGTGAAAACATTTTCAGATGTATATGCATGCATTTCTTTCTCAAAATGTATTAATTGCTGCAGTGTAACTTAAAATATCACCTGTTTTTATGATATAAGTGCACCAGGCAGGGACTCTGTGTTGTTAAATTAAATAGCTTTTTGCAACTTTATCATTCTGATATTTCAATATATTGCAATAACTATGTGTTTAATTGAAGTTTTTTCACCCATTTTAGGAGCTCCATTAGCTTTTACTCATTCTCCTGGCTGCATGTTCATTACCGACCTGAAGAATGACAATGTCACAGTCAGATCCTCAAGAGAAGTCCCACAAGTCCACTGCATTTCTCAAGATCCTCTGCATTATAGTATTGTGTCAGCAGAAGCAGCCCAAAAGATAAAGACTCTAGAGACCGTAATTGGAATAGATCCAGGTAAAAACAAAAACTCTCTTCCTTTAGTGGATTTTTTTATGAGGTAGATATGACCTATCCTGCTTTTTTAGATATTAATAAAGTTCAAGAACATGGTAAGAATCTAAAGGCAATTTTAAGATTTTAAAAATTCTTTGTGGAATACAGTGAGTTGATATAACTAGGTCCTACATTTTCTGTTACCGTACTTAATATCAGAGTCTGGCCAAAAACATTCAACCTTATGGGTAATGGAATATCTGATCTTGATGACTGTATACTCTCAAAGTACATAGAAGCATCGTTGTTTACAGCAGACTGGAGAGTCCACAGGGAATAAGAACTGTTACTGAATAAAACTGAAATTGGTATGTAAAGTACAGGGCACCTCAGCATGCTGGTAACAGCTACAAGGATATTCACTGTACAGTAAATAGCACATTTCTTTACATATATTCACGACTACTGTGCTCCTACCAGAAAATTCTAGTAGTCGCACGTGCTTTTCAAACATCCCTCTCTGATGGGTGGAATTACATCAAGCTCTGCTGACACATTCATCACTGAGGTGTTGTGTGATGGACCAAAGTGACCTGATCACCACAGAACGTTGAGAGGTAGGGCTGCATGTGTGCACAAGGAAGAGGAGAGGGAAATAAAGGCAAACTGAATAGCGCAACCATTCCTAAAATACACACTGAATTAGTCCCCTCTGTCTGCTGTAAATTCTGATCTCAGTTTCCCATAAGTTTTCTGAAATCCTCTGTAGGCAGTAGTGGAAAACAGCTTACGCCCAGCTCTCCCAAGCTCTGGGTTTGGGCTCTGTGTATATGTTTGGGTCTGGTTATTTTTACTCACAAGGCCTCTCCTTTTCCCACTCTCTGGAGTTCAGCTTGGCACAGTGCCATGCTCTGCAGAAATACAGGACCTAACTTAAGAGCTAGCTCGTTTTATTGCTAGAGGAGAGTATAATACTTTATCTCAGTTAATATACCCCACTTCTCAGAGACTAATATTCCCTACTTCTGTTACTTAAGTCTTGTTCAGAACTTTTTTCTGTGTCCACTATCTATATATTACCTGTATGTTATGTAGGAGGAACAGAGGGAGAAATGGCAAAGGGGAAATGGAGGACAAAAAGAGGAAAGTGCAGAGGCGGGGCGGGGGGGAAGGTGAGAAGGATGAAGATGTGAGGAGGCTAGAAAACAATAGTGAGGACTTACCTCTCACTATCAGCCCATCATGCTAGTATTTGTGGTTTTCAGGAGTACTAGCAAATCGAAAGGACTGCGCTGTGAACTTGTGTTTCCGAGTGCCAGGGAAGGGAGAGGGGATAGGAAGTGTTTGAACAATGAAGGACATATACAGATAACACAGCATTGCCTCTTTAGGGACTGACCCATGAGAAGAGACATCTGTTAATATTCACCTATTTCTCAAGGTCAGATAACATGGTTCTCTACTACATGAAGTGTTACAAGATCTTTCAGCAGTCAACTGGATACTACTGTGTTAACTGAGTTTACAAAGTCCCCTGGTAACTTACAATATCTCTGAAACTTCACTTCTGTGGTTAATCATTTCATTAAGCGGAATTTATTTGGGAATTAGCTCTTCCCTAAGGCGATAGAGTTAAATAGAGACAAAGGACCGGCTTACTCATCTGAAGTCTGCATCAAAATTTCTGTAAGATCTGGGACGCTTGAGTTCCAATCTAGCTTCAGTAGCGAGACATGGTCTAGCATGACTGTCACCACAGATCAGAGGAAAGCAGAGGGCCAAAGGAAAGGAAACAATATGCAATAAGCTCTCAGAAAAAGAAAAAGCTATTTACACTAACACCTAGAAATGCTAGGCATAGAAATTTTCAAAATCCGGTTAACTGAAATTCTTAACCTGGAAGCACAGCCCATTATCTTCATTACTCATATCCTCCACCTTCCTAGGTTTCCTGAGGAAATTACCCCAATTCCTGCCTTGACCAGAGGTTTTTCTTTCTCTTTTTTTTTTTAACCCATTTTATGTCATTAAAGTATGCAGGTTCACCCACACAGAAGCTTCAAAAGGAGAATGATATATTGAAGTGTACTGTTCTCTTTAAAAACACTTTTATAGGAGACCGGGGTATAATTCATCTACACCGCCAGGACGAGCTGCTGAAGGCTTGCCTGTCCATCTCCCATGCTCGGTCGGTGCTGATAACAACTGGATTTCCTACCCACTTCGCTTACGAGCCACCAGAAGAGAACGATGGGCCCCCGGGAGCCCTCGCTATTGCAGCTATATTGCAGGCCTTGGAGAAAGAGGTTGCCATAGTAACAGATCAGAGAGCCATGAATCTGAATAAAAAGATTATTGAAGAGGCTGTTCAACTAGGTAAGACACACGTTTTCTCAGTTTTTATCTTGCCAATTTGAGCCAAGGTTTGCTTCAGTTAATCTCACTGTCACTTAGTATAGGATTTTTTTTTTTTCCAGAGAATGAACCAGAGTTCATCCTCTAAGCTCTGATCAGCGTTGCTACGATGACATTTTGTTAAACCTAGCTGGCATCAAGTTAATGCTTACATAGCTGATTAGTGATTCTGGATTAGCTGTTTGTGTTGAATTCTGGACGTCTGTTCTTATTCTTATAGACCTGTTGTCTATCTCAAGGTCCCATTTACTAGCACCAATATCCAAATGAGTTTAATTTAAAGTAAGGATGCAGGGAGCTTATCAGGAATATTGAGTCCTTACTATTCTAATTGTTCTGCTTGCCTTTTTTTTTTTTTTAAAGTTACTCAAACACATATTAAGAAAAAAAGGTACATAGTATCTGAATTGTATTTCATTTTCCTGCAGGAATCCTGAAGGGACCTGTCCCTCTACTGAGTTATCAAAGAGAAAGTGCTGATTCAGCTTTAATGTTTTTGTGTGAGAAAAAAAGGTACATAGTATCTGAATTGTGTTTCATTTTCCTGTAGGAATCCTGAAGGGACCTGTCCCTCTACTGAGTTATCAAAGAGAAAGTGCTGATTCAGCTTTAATGTTTTTGTGTGAGAATGGGAACCCTGGAAGACCTAGGTACGTGTCTTCAGTTTTTGAGAATATCTCTACTGTGTAGTTATAATAAAAATAACGACCATGATCTAAGAAGGCATAATGGTTACAAGTAAATCCTTAAGACCTGGAATGAACAGAACAAATTTTGAAGCCAAACATTGGTTTTGGAGCACACAGGGTACAGAACTCCATGTTATTCTGCAATTACGAATTTCTGGAGTACAAAAAAAGAAATGATACTTCATATATCAATAGCTCTTTTCCTTTGAAAAATTTCTAAAAGCTTTTCAGCTGTTATTGCATAGATATAGATATATATACACACACAAAATATATTATTTTACCAGTTTTTAAATCAGTGATAATATCAGAAAGGGGAAGTATGTCAGAGTCAGTGAAAGAGCTAGGAGAAGACTTGTGGAGTGTGTTCACTTTCTAGAGCTTTGGCTCAAGTCTGACAACTGGGGAATCTGATCTGATTTAATAAGATGTCATGTGTTTTTATAATAGTGTGAAAGTGATCATCCTATTGTCTTTAGGCAGCCAAAGCCAAAATTATAGATGTACGCATGCACTTCTCAATAATAATTTGAACTGTTTGCATATGTCTTGTTGAGTATACTATGTCGGGCAAAAATTCAGATTAATACAAAGTGTGTGATTAGGGTTAATGCACTGGAGAATTTGCTAAGTAGCTGTACACACATTTCATTACTTAGCAGGCAACTTATATTTCCTTTAAAAAGCATACATTGGTCATTTTTATTGATCTTTCCTTGTACAGCATTTTAATGTAGTTGCCTTCAGTTTGTTCTCTTTAATAAAAAGATCTTTCACCCTGGTATTTGCTTCATCAACTTACTCAATTCCCATTTCTTTCCACGGGTTAGCGTATGCTATAATTGTATGCTGTAATAGTATGCATGATACTGTCTTCATTTTTCATGTATTGTTTTAAAAATGTGTTTTATAGCTATGCATAATAAAATTACAGCCAGTTTCTATTTCAATTGATCCCACAGTCCCAAAAAGCTAAAGTAAGTGTTTCTTTAAAGTAGACAACTAACCTGCTTAAGGTCTCTGGAGTCGCTGTAGATAGCCACCCACAAAAACATTAAGTAATTCAGCAGAATTAGTAACCTCATGACAGCAAAATGGGAAAAACAGAAGCAAAATAACTTCATTCTAACATACAGTGGCAGAACTGAGTACTAAAATTCTGCTTAAAACATAGGACATCTGCAGTACTTCTGTCTACTTTCATAACTAGCAAAATAGCCATAGACTTAAAGGAAAATCCCCCAAATCTAAAGACCCAAACCAAAAAACTCCCTAACTAGAAACAAATGAACATTTGCCAAGCAACGTACTTTAAGCAGAGACTATATTTACACTAACAAGGATTTAGATGATCATTAATTTGCCACTTTTTTGTTTTCTTTGAAAACAGTTATAGAGACTAATGTCTTACAAGATGTTATGTATTTTAACATCAAAGAGAGCAAGGCCAGGTGGCTGACCCAAAGGTTTGCTGGTTAGGAGGATTTCAGGAACTTCTCCATTTCTTGGTGGCAAATGTGGTTTGAGGGAATTGCACTAAAGCTATAAAGAAACTAAACTAACTTTTGAAAATAAACTGTAGAGAACTACATTCAGAAATAGCAAATCAGTATCCAGGTTTTACCTCGAATCCCAAATAGTCAAAAAGTAGAACCAACCACAACAGGAGAAGCAGCCAACAGAAAAGTTTGTTACGTGAGAATCACAGCTTTGACTCCTCTCCTCTGTTCTTTCACTCGTCTCTAACCAGATTTGATCACCTGATAGCAATAGAGCGTGCTGGGATGGCTGCTGATGGCAATTATTACAATGCCAGGAAAGTTAACATTAAACATCTAGTGGATCCCATAGATGAACTATTTTTAGCTGCACAGACTATTCCAGGAGTCACAACAACAGGTATGTGTGAGTTTGTGTTATATTCTCAGAAGCAAGAGAAGCACAAAACAGGAACTCTTACTGGAAGTGAAGGGGAGCAGGAGGCAGGTGCTGAATAACTGCTTGCGGGCTACAGCTGTTTGTCGTGGTTGAATTTAGAGACCGTTGCTGGAGAAAAATTAGAGGTTTCTATTGAAGGGTTCTCACAACCAAAAAAAATGAAGGAGTTGATTTCAAACTTATTTAAGGACAAAAAAGCAAGCCCAGATGTGTGTATTATCTATACATCAGTGCGCATACATATGCTTCTCTAAGCGTAGTTTTTGACACTGACTTTATTCTGTGTTTTATGTGTGAAAGGCAGCATAAAAAGCAAATGACTACTGAATGGAAACATTACATTAAAATATTATAGTTATTTTTATGATTGTTACACCTGTGTTAAAACAGCTTTCTGGATAGAATCTTAGTTTATGTTGCCTTTTAGCAGTACATTCTCTTGAGCAGGGATTGCATATTTGCATCTATTATGATAATGCCTTCTCTAACAAAATATATGTATACAATAACAATCTTTCAAGGAGTACTTTGTCCTTCCTGCCAAAACTGCCTTAACATTGACTCATAGGTCTAATAAGAGTGCTGTTGTCAACACGGTGCTCCTCTCTTTTGTCGATAGTCCTTTTTTCCCTGAAAACTGACTTGTATCTGGTTTGAAAGAATATGCCATAGATCAAGGATTCCCAGATATATATAAAATGTTGTACAACGTCCTTGTACAATCAAATGCTTCGTGCTACACTGTGTAGCCCAAAATGGAGTTAGGAGATGTATAATCTGTATAAATATTAGAAACAAAATTAGAAATAAGTGTCACAAAATTAGAAATAAGTGTCCGTGCCAGGCTGATTTCAGTCACGTCAGAACATGTCTGCTGATCTGGCTTTTTTTCTCCTTGTGGTGCTGTGGACTCACTCGTCAGTATTACCAAAAGCACTGGAACTTTGACTTCTCGGTAGTGATGTTTTTCAAATGTTTCTACAGAATTCAGAGAGCTCCTGCAGAGATAATGCATAGTCTGATTTCACCGTATTGGAATCATTTAAAAGCTGTATAGCAGAAGAGTTCACTGGTATTTTTTGTATTATCTTAAAACTCATAATACATTTTACTTAGATTTAATTCAAATTTTTGTCCTATTCCTAAGGAGTAACTTTCAACATTCAAAAAGAAGCACTCTAGATGGCACTCTGTTGGCAATCTCAGCAGAGAAGCCAAAGATTGACTGAATAAGGATAGAAAATCTCTCTTTCATAAAGGTGTTTAGCAAAACGCCTCAGAGCTTTATCTGCTGCAGTTAATTTCAATTATTTTGTCCCTGATTTTAGACTGTTGATACAAGGACTTGGTCTCTCCAGCTACTTATGTAACATCACATCCTGATTCCTTTAATAAAAGTACCCTAATCTCTTAAAATATCTCCCAGAGCAGCTCAAAGTATATTGTTGATTTGGCGGAGTATGGAGTGTTCTGCACAGTGGGAATTTGAATCTCTTCAGCAGAATTTAGTTTGTTTTAAACATTCTCTGAATATTCAAATACACTATGAAATGTCATTAATTAAAAATACCACAAGCTTGTGAATAAGAAGAAAAGAAGCAGTTATCCCGATTCACTGCGTCCCATTGCCATGAATTTTCTCTAAAGACATGTCTGCCTAGAAAATGATTTAACAAGTCATAGGCTTCAAAAAACAATGAAGATATCTGCTCTGATCTCCCATGGAATTTGAGTACATGGATATTCTATGCTGGAGAACTAATTGAGTATCTATAGAAAAACAATGTAATTTTTTCTTACAGTTACCTAGTTAACAGTTCTTATTTTGCTTATCACACTAACTTTTTGTGTCTGTTTTTTAATTTGATTACAATTTCTTGGGATGGCTGTTGTTGGCTTTTTCAGTGTATTTCTGCAAAGCCTAGCTTAACAAGGCATGAATCTGGGCTGTGGCCTTTGCATCTTGTCTCTCATTACTGATGATAATGTTTTGCTACTGATTATGATAAATTTTTCTGGTGGGGTTATCTTTGGCTTTCTTCATGGTCAGTAGGAATTTGGAGACATATGTCTAGTTCCAAAATAAAATGCAAATATTGTACAGCACCCATTAGGGCAGAGTACTCAAGTAACTTTATAGACTAGAAAAGGATATTAGAAAGATCAAGTTTTCAGCTTTACAGAAGTCTTTATATAGTGTGCTCAGTAGCAAGAGGTACTGTGTTAGTAGGTGGAGAGGGGAAGTATTAGAACATTTGTTACATGCTGATTAATTGCTGTCAAGTTTTGCATTTAAAACAAGATCTGTGTTTAAAAAAAATCTGACCTAGGAGTCTGACCACAGACAAAGCATGAACAATGCCTACAATTGTGTGGGTACTGATACCATAAAAAGTCATGGAGTAAGCAGCAACCTTCAGGTATACACAAAATAAGAAGACATGGAAGACTGAGGTTGGAAGGACTCATTTTCCCCAAAAGATTGAAATAAAAGATTAATGGATGTTACCGAAACCACATGCTATTTTTTTCAGCTGTCATACAATTGACATAGCTATATGCTATTTATATAGGAGCTAATGAAAAGCTTTCCAAAGTACCGCATGAAAAAATGTGGTCTCACTTGTTTCCCTTTCATACAAATGATTTTTAGCACAGGAGACTGACGTTTCCTGCATTTTTCATGAATGTAGTTTCAGAAAACAATGTAGTCAGTGAAAACTTGCGTGGAAGATCCGACAGAACTATTTTTCCTCTTCCTGGAAAGCACTCAGGCCTTTAGTAGAAGAGGATTCATCTTGTCTATTTTCAGACATCTATATGTGAGATGTCTGCCTTGGGGTGAGATGAACTGAATGTTTGAAGGGTCTGTTTCTCTCTGCTGACTTTAAAACGAGTCTAGCTGACTAGCTCATGTGTAGATGGCTGCGTTTTGGCAGGTGAATCTCACTCTGGAAATCAACAGTAAAATGTAGTCCTCTGCCGACGTGTAGAGGAAGAAGAAAACAGATGGTACAGGAAAATTTTCGGTGTGGTGTTCTTTTCCTCCCAGTGTAATGCTAATGGGATCCATCCACAGCAGCAGATCTACTAACTGTGTGACTATCCTGGTGACAGGACTTCCACAAAGACAAGAAAAAGCAAAGCAAGGCTGATAGAAGAAAACCCTGAGCAATGGAATAGTATCTTTCAGTTAAAAGAAACTGTTGATGATCTTCAAAGGACAAGAATTCATTTTAGCCTTTTTAAAGAATATTAAGAGCAAAATTTTGGATCCTGAATGTAAGAAAAATCAAAACATTGTGTGGATTCTTACAAAAAGTAGTACAAAACAGTAGTAACTACCATATTTATATATGATGATAGAGGCATCATGATTATGTCATTACCTATTTGAAAAGTACTACCAACAAACAGATTTTAGAAAGCACCGTTAAATACCAACACCAAAATAAATATGAACAGATTATTAAAGCAGATAAGAAAAAAGATTAGCTGTTTCATCGCAAATCCTTTTATGTAAGTTAACATATGTAACACATAACACATAACTTTATGTAAGTTATGTGTCACTCAGTTACGCTCCCCTTGACTATTTAGACTTAAGGAGTTAAATAAAAAATTGGTGCTGAGAAATAACTTTCAATTTCACTTAAAGAAGAAATTTGCTACAGACTTATGTGAGATATTTATGCAGTTACTAAAACTGTTAAATTTATCAATTTTCAGGGCTTGAAGTGTGAATTATAAATACTGTAGTTTCTCTCCTGTAACACATGCTATGCATTAGAGCACAGTCACATTTCAAATTCAAATACGATACATTGCAGTGAGGACTTGGAGCTCTTCACTGTTCCGTTTCACAGACATTAACTAGGATTTTTTGATAACATCTTCAAACTTGAGAAGATGCCATTTAGACTAACAGGTGAAAGAGGAATGTAAATTTCCACTTAAATAGATGGATTTTTTGTGTGTTTTTTTAATACATTGGTAAGAGACTAAAGATACTATGTAGCTTTCATGTAAGCTGCTAGTTTATGTTTATAATCTGTTTGTGTTTATAATCTGTTTAATATCTTCATCAGTGACATAGACAG